TCGCGAGCTTTCGAGGTTTCACTCGCAGATCAGTCTGGAGACTCTCCGTTAAAGAAAATTTAGAGCCGTTCCCCAAACGAACGTCCAATCAGCGTTGGCTTTGAGGCGGGTTGAGGTGTGACGCAACGAGAAGCGCGACAGTTCATTCTAAAGAACATGGCGGCCGATGAAAGTAGCGTTAGTGTGGCTATTGAGCAAGTTTTATCGAAAGTACAAAGTATTTCTTCACTGAAAGAAGAGCAAAACACTGCAAGAGTTTGATCTTGTGGTTGTGTTTTCGTCGTCGCTCTGTTAGTACGTCATATGCTTCGTTGATCTGATTGGTTTATTTGGCCCGTCTATCACCAACATAGGCCAATCAGCTAACCAGTATTTTCGCCCCTTCCCAAAATTACTTCAACGGAAGGTTTCCAGATGGATATGCGGAGCAAATCCATCTGGCGGAGTCAGGTTATATTTTAACATCAGTCTAACTGATTGAGATATTTGCTGTTGATTTTTGTAAACAAATAAGGTTTTTCCTTCTCCATTTATGTTGCAACAATGACACAAAATGTCACACAAATCTCTTTTTTCTTTAGTTTGTACAGCACTAGTGGCTCGTTTTTCTGACAGTAGGCTGACAGGAAAGGTGGTATGAGAGGGGGAGAGACATTTAGCAAAGGACCAGAGGCCAGATTAGAACCTGGGTCGCCCGCAACGAGGACTCCATGCATGGGTCGTGTGCACTAACTACTGCGCCACCTGCACGCCACTTTTTACACAAAAAAAATTAACATTTATTGGCAAATGAAGCACAACATTAATGATAGAAATTGGAGGGATCGGCAAAGCATTTGCTTCACCTGAAGGCATGGCTGCTAAATGTACTAATGAATCAGTCAATGCATGCACATTCCTGTTGATACAGATACAAGAAATACATGCTAAATATAGCCCAAAATATCAGATGGCTTATGTATGTGCCAATCTTTATTCCAAAGGTCCACAAACCAGAATATGGGATTCTATGTCAAGGATTATCCAGGGTATGGGAGTTATCTGCAACAGTACCCTCTTATCTGTTGTACTTGTTTCCAATTTTTGCTCCATAAACCACCTTTGTCCATCCCTCAGGTCTGCTCCACTACCGTCCTCATTCAGAGCCTGTCTCCTTTACAGTCTCCCTGAAAATGACCCCCATATGCTTTTAACGGTCTAGACTTTACCGCCTATTTTATCACTAGAAGCCCTCCACCCACCGCATTATTCACACTCTAAAACAGCTAATGGGGATTCCCATCAAACCCAGAATTCAGTTTAAAGTCCTCATTACTTTCAAGGCCGCCAACAACCTAACATTACCCCACCTGTCACAGCTCCTCCACCTTCATACATCCTCCCGCTCCTTTAGGTCTTCATTGTCCACCATCCTCTTCAATCCTCCTAACTGTGGAATCATCCCTGCAACATCCATAATAAACAGCTTGTGTTTTTAATGTTAAGGTGTGCTATTTGATTAGAAAGTATTATTTTTAGTTTCAGTCTTAACCTTTAAAATGGCCATCAATTGTCAGTCTGGAGTATGGAGTAAGTTTTGTTCCATTGTTATTGAAAGCAAAAAATACATTGTGTAAATTGAAATTCGAAAACAACGCAATGCAGAAATGAAACTTTAAAAGAAAACATAATTTTTTAGAGTAAGTTTGCTGATTTCATTGTTTGTTGCGATTTATTTTCTTAAGTTCATTTTTTTTATTGCGTTTTACAGATCATATTCTCTTAATTTCAAACCCGATACAAGCGCTCACTCTTACAGCGCACATTGATGACACACAAGACCCCCTCAGTCGATTTAGATTTTATTTGGAAAATATTAATAAAACAAATAAAATTAAAAAAAACTATACATGTATAAATTAGAAAAGAATAAAAAAAAAAAATAGAACAGCAAAACAATGCAATCCGAGAAAACAGCAAAGTTATTGTCAAACCTTTTTTTTTCCATAAAAATTTGTTTCTTTTTAAAGTTTTGGAACCAATTCCATAAGTAAGGATCTAGACACCTAACAAAAATGTACAGGGTCTTATTTTTTTTTTTTCTTTTTTGGTTGAAGCTACACAACACCGTTTTCCTTGCACTATAACTTCAGAACTGGGTTCAAAGAGATCATCCATCCATCTAACCTGACTCCGCCAGATGGATTTGCTCCACATATCCATCTGGAAACCTTCCGTAGAAGTAATTTTGGGAAGGGGCGAAAATACTGGTTAGCTGATTGGCCTATGTTGGTGATAGACGGGCCAAATAAACCAATCAGATCAACGAAGCATATGACGTACTAACAGAGCGACGACGAAAACGCATCCACAAGCGAGGCTACTCAGCTAACAAGAATGTACGCC